AATTAAAAACAGTCAATGGCCATGTGTGTGCTACATTTCGTGAGGCTTGCCAGAAATTAAGTCTCTTAGAAAACGATGCTCATTGGGATATTTCACTCGCTGATGCTTCTAATACAGCTCAACCACCACAGATACGTACACTATTTTCCATCATACTAACTACATGTTTTCCGGCTAATCCAAAGGATCTTTGGGAAAAATATAAAGACTATATGAGTGAAGACATTTTACATCGCATGCGTAGAATAAATGCTAATCCCAACATTCAATTTACATCAAATATATACAATGAAGCATTGATTTTAATTGAGAATGTATGTTTGACAATAGCCAACAAATCACTGACAGAATTGGGAATGATTGCTCCAAATAGATCTGGTAATGGCATTTTCGATCGTGATATACAACGAGAAACGCACTTCGATGTTAATGAATTACAAGCATTTGTTCGAATTAATCTGCCGAAACTGGTATTAGAACAACGAACAGCATATGACACAATTATAAATGCAATATCTAACAAGAGTTGTGGCTTATATTTCTTAGATGCACCTGGAGGTACTGGCAAAACTTTTCTTATTTCAATTATTCTGGCAACTATAAGATCACAAAATAATATTGCACTTGCTATTGCATCATCTGGTATTGCAGCAACTCTTTTGGACGGTGGTCGAACAGCACATTCAGCATTGAAATTGCCATTAAATGTGCAGGTAATCGAAACTCCAACATGTAATATAAGCAAAGATTCTGAGATGGGAAAAGTGCTAAGATCATGTCAGCTTATAATATGGGATGAATGCACCATGGCACACAAGAAATCATTGGAAGCACTCAATCGCACATTAAAAGATTTGAGAGGAAATGAGCAGCTCTTTGGTGGTGCACTCATTTTACTAGCTGGTGATTTCAGACAAACTCTACCAGTTATACCCCGTTCAACACCAGCAGATGAATTTAATGCATGTCTCAAATCATCAGTATTATGGCGGTATGTGGAGAAAATATCTTTAAAGACCAATATGCGTATTCAATTACAACAAGATGAATCTTCCAAACGATTTGCAAAACAATTGCTAGACATTGGGAATGGTAAAATGGAAATGGACCAATCCACACACTGTATTACATTACCAGAAAACTTTTGTTACATTGTAAATTCCACTGATGAATTAATTGCAAAAGTTTTTCCAAATTTATCGCAGAATTATAAAAATAATCAATGGGTTAGTGAGCGTGCTATATTGGCAGCCAAACACATTGATGTGAATTTAATAAACTGCAAAATTCAAAATGAAATACCTGATAAAGAAACAACATATAAATCCATAGATACTGTTGTCAATCAAGATGAATCAGTTAATTATCCAATGGAATTTTTAAATTCATTGGATCTACCAGGAATGCCACCGCATATTTTATCTTTGAAAATTGGTCCCCCAATCATCCTTCTACGAAATATAAATCCACCACGACTATGCAATGGGACTAGGCTATCAGTAATAAAATTGATGAATAACATAATTGAGGCAACCATTTTAAATGGAAAACACCAAGGAGAACATGAACTAATACCAAGCATTCCCATGATACCAACGGATACTCCATTTGAATTCAAACGTCTACAGTTTCCTGTACGACTAGCCTTTGCAATGACCATTAACAAAGCTCAGGGACAATCATTGCAAGTATGAGGATTGCATTTGATAAATCCATGCTTCACACATGGACAGCTGTACGTTGCGTGTTCACGAGTTGGAAAACCATCAAATTTATTTGTTCTTGCACCTGATGGGAAAACAAAAAATATTGTATATTTACAAGTACTACTAAGATAAAGTTCACCATCAATCATCAAATATCCTTCATTTCATGATGTATTGTTTAATACCACAAGTGAAGAAACATGTTTATTCTACCATCAACTATGCATCTATGTTTTGTTATATTCAAGTGACATATATGTAGGGATAATTTTATTATTAATTTTCATTTTGATGTATTGTATAAATTTGATCATTAATCACAGCAACGTGTGAGCGGGTACAGCTAGTATATATATAAAAATGAATGTCTGTCTGTGTGTCCTTTATAGACTCCTAAAACATCCAACCGAAAGTTATGAAATTTGGCATACAGATAGTTTCAAGCACGAGGAAGGACACTGTAAACATTAAAACATTCCACGACAAATCGTTCTAAAAGGATGAGCGAAAAACGAAATGGAATTTTCTGATTGGTTAAGCGTTAGCCATTGTTTTAAACTTAAAAAAATCAATTTTCACATATTTTAAAGATACATCAGTGATAATTATTAGCTTATAGCTCTATTTCATCGAAAAATGGTTTATTGCACGTATTTAAATATTTAATTATTTTATATTCGCTATGTCAGATGAATTTAATGAACATTACGTGGTTGCACGCGTGATCTTCGTCACCAAATTTAAAATTTGTCTGANTGTTTATTCTACCATCAACTATGCATCTATGTTTTGTTATATTCAAGTGACATATATGTAGGGATAATTTTATTATTAATTTTCATTTTGATGTATTGTATAAATTTGATCATTAATCACAGCAACGTGTGAGCGGGTACAGCTAGTTAATTATATAATTTACAGACACTGAAAAATTAAAATATAATTATTCATATTACAGAACTAAAAACATACAGCGAACTTTTATTTCTGTCGATGTATATGATATGGGGAATGCGTGATGTTTTTGGTGTAAAATTGTTCAATTTTAAGTGTTTAGATTGAAACTACACATTTTAAATCGTATATAAACGCTATGTTTGGTGTTCACCCAGAATAAAATGCTCCGTCTCACATTTTGCGGAATGTTCATCACAATATTTGGAAAGATATTACACCACAGTTTTCTAGTGTAGATCAAATATGAGAATATAACTATTATTAAAGATAATAATGTATATCAAATAAGAAAATATCGTGTTCATTACTAATGGCAACAATTACCAAATGCGATAATCGCGAATATTATCATTAATGCAACTACTTCAAAAAAGCTAACATTGAGAGAATTTTTTATAATAATAATTAAATACACTATTATCGTGAGCGTTAATAAATTGTATTTGGGTAGCGAAACTATTGTCAAATGTAAAAATAATAGAATATAATTAAATATAGCGATATATTACTAGATATCGATAAGTACCAAAAAGTGTAATTTACTACTGCACTTAGCCAGAATTTGTTTGAATTATGTGATTGTTTGATAACAACCACAAGAATATTTTTTATATACATAATTGAAAATACTTAATATTCCGTTGGAGGGAGGTATTAAAACTTAAAATAAAGAGCACGAATTTCAGTTGACACATTTTTTTGTCTTGATACGTTTGTGGAATGTATTAAAATGGAGCTTTAAAAGATGACTATAGATACTCTTTTTCATAAGGAAAAAAATAAATTGCTCCTTTGTCAGCTGCATGTTCAAGAAAAATATTTATTTAAACCAAATTACTTTCTTATTAATTCTAATTTAGCTTTCGGCGAATGATAGTTCTTTAAGCATTACCATATTCATTAAAATTTTACTAATGAGTTTTCGAACTAATTAAATAATGTGGTTTAAGAGAAAAATTTAACATTCGCAAAATATATCCCACTTGGTAATTCAATTCATATCCTTACTTTATACTTGAAACAAAAAGACTTAAGATTTCAAAGAAATAACAATTATTGGTAAAAAATATTTTAAAAGATGTTTAAATTGAAATTATTTTATCCAGAAAACTCATATATGTCTAAAATTAATGTAACATACTTACTTTTCTTTATTTTTCTTCTAAAATTTTCTCACTGGTAAGTGGAAAACTTGCCATAAATAAAACTTGTTCTGTATTATAAAGCATCAGATTTGTTAGACATGCTATATTTCAGATTTTTTAGTATTTTATTTCTACCTTTTAAAGGACTTGTTAATTTGTTTTGTAGTTTTTAATCTGCCATTTTTCAGAACCTATTAAATTAGATTAATTTTTATACATTTAGACAATAACTATTTGAAATTTTATTCTCTAATACCTCAATGAAAATAATTGATTCTCTGAATTTTCTCTAAGTGTACTTAAAGATTGCAGTTCTAATTGTTTCTCGTAATTTTCACTCATTAATTTCCAGAATCTGCACTTTTTCCTCTTTGCTTATATAAGACTTTAAGATCTACTTAATGGAATCAAAAAAAAAATTGCCATGCATCTCATATAACTTTTTAAGTATTCCTTTCATATAAATATTATTAATCTGAACATCATGCCCTGTATATTTTTTTTAATTCCTGTAAAGGTTTGGTTGTTAATATCATGCTAGAACTACAGTAATCGTCTATTGGAAAATGTCTGGAATTCTTTTTTCACTATGATCCTAAAGCAATACTAACGCATTTACACTCTACACTACTACAATTAAAGTTTGGGTAGATGGTGGTATTGATCAAGCAACCTCCGCACCACACTTCTCAATCGACCAATCTTGAGGGAACTTTTCCAACTCCGAAACCAACAGTGGCATTCTATTAATGCTGATTTCGAATGATCAAAGCATGATCTGAGGAAGTGAAGTTCGATCAGACAACCAGCACCTTTAGCTGAGAGATTCGGACCCTGGTCATAGCCGTGGTTGGCGAAAAAACTGACCCGCTATACTGATTAATTTATAACCCTTAAATTTGAAACCAAATGCTTCGAATTAGATCCCTTTCGTCGCACAATTATAATTTAAGTTGTTAACATATAATTAAATGTTTTATATTGCTATATATGATTCCTATTTTCGTCTACTTTGTTACTTATATCATCAGTTCCTTTTTAAAACTAAATGCTTTTAACAAAGTCCCTTATATTTATATTGTTACAGACGTTTAGCATTTTTGACTACCTTGTTACTTATATCTTCAATTCATCTCTAAAAAAGAAAAAAAAGAGTGAAAATGCTTCTTAAAAACTTTCTTCATTTTCAAGAATTTTTATTTGAGTTGTAAATGTATAACTAAACATATTTATGTTGTTATAGACGTTTAACAAATTTGTTACTTATATCAACAATTCATTTTTGAAAAGAAAAATGATAAAATGCTTCATATAAAATTTTTTCACTAGCAAAAATTTTGTTTGAGTTTTTATATAACTAAACATATTTAGGTTGTTATAGACATTTAACATTTTTTACTACTCTGTTACTTATATCATCAATTTATTCCTCAAAAAAAAATGCTTCTTAAAAATATTTTTCATAAGCAGAAACTTTTATTTGAGTTGTTAATGCATAACTGAATATATTTATGTTGTTATAGAAGTTTAGCATTTTTGATTACTTTGCTACTTATATTACCAATTCATTAACAAACTATCATTACAACAATAGTTAATCTTAAACTAACCTTCAGTACATAAACTGCATACAATATATTGTGACCCAATGATTTCCAAAACATTCTATTTTGATTATCAAACCCTTTCATTATAATCCATTTACATTCAATTGTATATTTAAACCCTATTTTAAATACGGATACCTCATTAAACATTTAAAAGGATTAGTTTGAAGTAATATTTACACGACATTTCGCAAATTCTTAACAAATGTATTAAGTCAAATGTTCATTATTTATTGAATTACAATCAATTTTACTGTGAAAAATGAACCAATTTAGTTCTCAAGAGTAAAATATCACCATCGAATCACTATTCTCAAAATATTTTACGTCCGCAAACATAACTTTTCGAAAACTTATCGAATAAGAACGAAGTACTCTTGTATCAGAAATCGTCTGTGTGGGATTTCGATTTTAAAAGAAGTTTTGACTTGACTTGGTAAACTGAACTTTGTAAAAGGTCAGATAACAGTAACCTTCAGTAATCGATAAATTTAAACTAATACGTCTATTTCCAAGTTTTATTAATTTGGAAATTTAAATTCTGTAAGTAAATATTCTCACAAAAAATGTGCATTTCGAATTGAGGACTTTTGTTTTTAAAATTATAAACACATTCTTATATATATAATAAACACAAAGAGCATTATGATCTTCAGGAAAATTATAAATAGATATATTTGTACCATAAATACAAATAGTATTTTTATGATTTCAAAGAAAATGACCAATGAATGTCGGTACCGGAAATTTAATTAGTATTTTATGGATTTCAAAGATTACTGACAATGAAAATGTGTACCATAATAGCAAATGATATTTTAATGATTTCTAAGAAAATCATAAATGAATATCTGTAGCATGAACTCAAATGGTATTTTTAAGATTTCAAAGAAAATATCTGTTTAAAAACGTCAGAGAGTATTTTTATGGCTTACAAAACAATACCGTTAAATATATCAATTGTTAAAACTTACTATTTTAATAATATCTGCATTGAAGGAGATGAATTCCACCAAATGATAAAATAGAATTAAAGCATTTTTTGCTACCAGAAAATAATTCCTACCTTTAAAACCTTTTGTTTCTGTTTTAAGCTCTTAAAAAATCAATCTTATTTAAAAACAGAACAACTATTTAAAATCTTAACTGCTAAGAACTTTAGAAATGTAAAGACTTTTGATAGCGGATTAAAAAACTATTGTTAGAGGTAAAGCAGAAGAAAAAATTCATAAGATAAAATTTGATATGAGGATTATCGTTTACTTAATTTATTATTCAA